GGCACCGGTTCCGTTCCTTGCGGCGAGCGTGAATCGTCGGGAACCGCTATTTCCAGGAAGTGTTTACTCCCACTTGTGCTTTTATGCTTCGCACAAGTGTCACTTTCACGCCCAGAGTCTCTCTCTCTCGCGCGCGCGCGAGTCCTTCGGACGAAGCGCCGAAGCGCGTTGGCGCCTCGTCACGTTAACGCGGAACACCGTTTACACCGTGCGATCTCGCGCACCACTCCGACGAGAGAGCTCCTTTACGGGATCGCGAACGGAGAGCACGGAGGTCGTTGACGCGTCGATGAACGGGCGCCGGTGATGCTCCGAGAGATTCGCCGCCCAGCTGTTCCCGGCGAGAATGTCACTCGCGACTCGTCCTGGAGCGCGACGTCGATGCGGATAAGCTGCCACTCCTGAAAACGCCCGCAGCTGTCGGCGTACTCGATGATTTCGGAGTTAGAGGAAAATCACGACAATCTCTCTCTCTCTCTCTCTCTCTCTCTCTCTCTCTCGAAAATGATCGCGAGGAACCGTTGCAGTCCGACTGGATATATTACACGTCGCGACGTGTTTGTCCTCGCACGTTACGTCGTCGCGTTGCGTGTTTACGATCGCGCCTCGCGCGACTCGCACGGCAGTCGGCAGCCGCGGGCGAGCGCAGCGCAGCCGTGTATATACACACCCGCACGTACAACACACTCCTCGTCGACTGTCAGGGCAACGCGGATCCGGTCGAAACGAAACACTCGCCTCACCCCCCACTCGACGGCGCGTAAACTCACACACACGCTCGCTCCTCTCCCGTACGTACTACGTATTCGTTGTATTCCCCGTCGATCGACGCGGCGCGGCGGCGCGGCAGCCACGACTGGCGACCTCGCCTCTCCTCTCCGCGCCGCTCACGTACCGCTGCTCGACACTCCCGTGGAGCACGTGGATTTACGCCGTCGCTCACGAATCCGCTCACGCCGCCGAATGTCACGCGAGTCATCAACCTGTTCAACCGCTGCCGAACATCGTCGTCGAATATTCGAAAACATGACACTCGCCGCGCAGACGCGGGACGGGCGCACGTGTGCCGGACTTCACGCAGTTCCGCGAATCGCGATCACGCGCGGTGCACTTCAGAGCGCTCGAGATTTATCGCGCACCCCCGCGATTTCACGCGAGGAGAACCCCCATGTAAAATCCCCACGAATTCAAGGGTGTCACTTCGGTGTGTCGCTGGTTGACACCAGCGAATGATTCCGCGTTCGTTTTGTAAACGTCTTCAGCCGAATGTCAACCGCGACGGAATCCGGCGACGGCGAGGGCGCGTAAAATCTTAATTTCGCGTAGTAGAAACGCATGCGCGCGCGAGAACGACGAGAACGACAACACCTGACGACATCCGCGCGACACGACACGACACGACAACACGAGGAAAATTATGACAACGATACGGAGCGTCGCGCTGTCCGTGACAGTGCGCTCGCGCGAACGTCCATCTGCGATCTCGCTCCGTTTAATTCTATCTGCGCGCCCGGCCGACTCTCTCCGCTCTCGTCCGACCGACCGCGGAACACACTATGCGAAGCGTCCCTACGCGCAGCCCGATCGCGAATGTAGTCCCCCGCCTATCGCGCCGCCACGGCGTAATCGCCTGAACTTCCGCGATTATCGACATTCCGCGCGTCCGTTTCGCTCGAAATTCGCGGGCGATTCCTGGAATTGCAAAATAATCAGAGTTAGGAAAGTTATCTTACAAGAGCTACTAGTAAATTACTTTTTATTATATTACAGAAATTAAGTGCAGTAAGTTCGAATATTTTGTTTTTTATATTGTATTTTATCATCTACTCCAATTTGTACTACTTTTTGTTTCTATCGCAAAATAGTAACTGTCGTCAAAAACTACACATATTTATATTATTATAAAAATTAATTTGCTCGTCAAAATAGCGGATAAAACCGCAAATGTGGAGCGCTGAAATCGAATTCCGATCAATCTCGTTGTGTAGTCATTCTGCGCCCAACGATTCGTACTATCAACTATGGCTAATAAATGACTCGCAATCATGTTATAATATATATTATAACATATATGTGGCAAGTACAATATTTATAATTTTTTTCAGTATCTACTAAAACTACACATATTTATTATATCTCTCGTGGTGCCCTGGTCTCCCCTATATTATATTTGTAACATTTAAACAAATTTTATATACGCAAATCCATCTAGTATAGGCTATTATAGGCAATTTCGAAATTTGATTTAATTCGCCAGAGCTTATTACGTAATTATTAAGTTGTTTATAAATTATATGTTTAAATTATTTATAAATCAAATTTAGTTTCTATTTAGTTTAAATTTAGCTCAATTTTAAGTTTATGTTATCACTTTTCACATTGTTCTTTTATGAGAAAGAATGACAGAATATTGTCTTATCTCTAATATATATATAGCGATTTTATTTATAAATTATTAATTTAATTATAAATTATACGTTTAGTTTAAATTATGAAGTTTACTTAAGAATAAAAAATCTGGCAGTAATTATTTGAAGCTGTTACTTACTATTAGTGTTTCATCAAGATCAAGAAATTTAAGAAATCTTGTCTTGGTTTTGTCTTAAATCAAAACAAGATCAAAATAAAAAATTGGGAATTGATTTCAAGACAAGACCAGAAATTATTATTAAGACCGAGATTTCTTGACAATAAGTTAAGAAATTTCTTGAAATTTCTTGAATTTCCGTGACAGTTTTTATTTTTAATATTTTATTACTTAAAAATTTTTTTATTTTATTTCTTATTTGAAAAGTTTTGAATAAATTAGATTTCATCATTTTTAATTGTATTTATTAGTATTTATAACAGGTTATATAATAGAGAAATGTATATTCATTAAATACATTTTCATTAAATAGCAAAATAGCATATGAGCAGAGTGTAAATCGATGTGAATAATGAAAAAGTGAAGTCCCTGATCTAACCAAATTAAATTATACTCATCGATACGTCCTTGTTATTAACTTTTACATTTATGTAAAGAAATATATATAAAATCAATATTGTGATATTACACATTCTAAACCATATATATATATATATATATTAGAATGTGCATAAAAAATAATTTTATTTAGAAACAGTATTTTTTTATTTGTGCTCTAATAAAGATGTATGGAAATGTATATATATTATAAGATAATTACAAAAATCTCTCTTTCTTGTATAAGTACTTTAAATATTCAAGATGTATTATGTAAAATTTCATTGCGATGCAGAAATTGCATGGTTATATTGTTCTGTAAATAAACAAAATATTTCGGATTGAAATTCTTGACATTGTTTAAATTTTTGTATATAAAAATTTATAATTACAAGCACATATAATTAACCAGCTCGGCTCATTAACTCTTTTTTTAATTTATTTTATTGTTAACAAAATATATTGTTCCCTTATTTACAAAACACCTAATTTTTGCATCGCAATGAAACTTATAATTGCATTTTAAATACTTAAAGTACTTATACAAAAGAAATTTAGATTAATTTTGTCATTATATGCTTTTCAAATTTTAGTATTGTAATAAGAAAATAATAACAAATAAAATAAATAAACTATAAAAATGTGTTTAATAAAAATAAAATACTTGAAACGCAATTTTCATATAGTTTATTATTTAAAATATAAATATTAGCACATTTGTAAAAAATGTGTGTAATAAATGTGTAAATGAGTCTAATATATTTAATATATGTTAATACTTTTAAACGAAATAAATGTCACGCGCATGTAAGATTGCAGAGATAAATATTTCTGATCCACAATTTGTAAATATAGGACGATTATACGAATCAAATATCGATTTATCATCTGCAGCCTTAAAAAGTGGATGTATGTATCCTCAGAAAAGTGGACTTTGCTATGTAGTTTACATCCACTTTGTTCAGTAGTGCGCGACAGCATTTTACGGTTTACAGGTTTTGGGCCGTCATGTTCTCTTTTCTCTCTGATATAATGTACATATATTAAACTTTTTTAAAGTCCAGAATTTTATTTTTCTAGATAGTTTTATAAAAATTTTCTGATTTTTTTCTTTATTTCCTTAATCGTTTTCAATTTTCAATTAACAATTTCATAATTTCCAATTTTGCAGCGACCCTGAATGAGCACGGGATAAATTATAATCATTCGTTTCTTAACTTTTTCAGAGTATTTTCTATAACGCCATCCTTTTTCCCTCCTAATTCCTTCACGTAGATACGCACATTTCGTCTCACGCTTGAAACTCGGAATGCGTAAGAAGTACGAACGAAACAAATGGATTAGTCATGTACTTGTATATCATGTACTTGTAAAGTCAGCTCGTTTCGTTTGTACCTTCCGCACTCTTTATTTCTATCCCGTTTCTCACTTTTCCGTAAACATCTTCATTCAATATTAAGAATGAGAGGAAATGTAGGTTCTTTGTTGAAATAATTCGCGTGAATCTTCAAAAACCGATGTTTAAGAAAACGGAGCGTGACGTGTATTTGAACCGTTCACTTTGTGTGTTGAAAAATTCAAATATGGCATAAAGAAACAGTATTGCACCTAAAGGTAGCGCAACCCCGATCAATAAATTTTTGAAAAAAATAATAGTAACACACACAATTGAAATTAAATTAAATTAAATAGTTAAATTAAATTGATTTAATAATAAAATTTGAATCGATAATAATTATACGCGTGCTTAAAATTACAATATTCAGAATTAAATGCGGTTACATTATTTAAATTAATATTTCCCATGTTTCTTCTGAAATATAAACTTTGTTTTGCACACAGAAACATATAAATAATTGTACAGATATTTTAATTGACTTATTCTAAGATTTAATTTGGAAAATTTAACTTTGATTCATTCGATAATCGAAATATGTAATCGTTCAAATGGAGGTACAATCGATTCTTCTACCTACATTTCGCATGATTAATATCAAATACTACAATTAATTAACCTCCGTCTGCTTCTAAAGTAATTATCTTATAGATATCTTACGTTTCGATAGAAATTTATTTTGTCGCTTGTTCGGCTTCCGTGATACGACAACTCAATCGAATCGATGCCGTTATCATTTCTGATTGGGAAGTTTAACGTTAGAAATTACAATCGGAGAAATAATTCGTGCACTTGCTTTTTCGGGATCCATTTGTAACCGGAAACGAAGGATGCGAAACGTTTAAACCGCCACCGACGTATCCAACAGAAAGTTTAAAATCACCGGAACCGTCGGAGTCGCGCGAGTGACTCGCGCTCGCGCTCGCGCGCGCCCATCAGCTGATTTTTGCGTCCGGTTCAACGAGTCATGCTTTTTCTTCCGGTCCGATGCAGACCACCGTTTCAGTATCTGCGGGATCGACGGTGAAGATGGTAGATGAAGCTGGTGACAGGTTTGTAGACGGGATTATTTTTCAAAAAAAAACCAGCCGCGCGAGAGAGAGGTCGCTGGACCGACGTCTTGGCGACGCGATTCCTCGTCGCCATTGCGACGGAATTAACCTCAAAGTCACCGCGGCAGCAAGCGGCGAGTTAATTTTTAATAAATCTCCGGTCCTCGCGTGACTCCGAATACTTCGAGGAATGTTGAATTCTTCATTTGAGACAACATTCGACGCGATTTTGTAGAACACTGAGAAGATTTTTAGTCGCGACTCCAATTTTTCGTTGAACTTCGTTGAAGCGGCTCACATCGGCTTCTGTCACTTTCACTATCGTTCTTTCGCGGATCTTTAATATATAGTGTGTATACGCATCTCATCTCGTTATTGTGTTAATTAATAGCGTCTAATCGCAAAACCACACAAAATACACGACTTTGATCTTACAATTAATCTCGCCAAGACGACTTAGCACGCAATCAAAACAAATCTTATGTCTATTGACTATAAACTGTAATCTGTGTCTTACATAACACATGAAAGGAAGAAATCTCAAAGAGGAAAGGATTTAATATTGTTTACAGGGCACTTTATGATGCATAAATCGCAATTATATGTAGCTTATACATGAGGTTATAAATAAATTACAAACTTAATCTTTTGTATAAGAACAATTTTTTTTTTTCAAAAGTTTTGCACTTATAGAAGTGACACTGGCACGCTGTAGTTAATTACATAAATATTGCAAATGCAATTATGTTGCAAAATACATTAGCTACTAGAAAGTGCTTAAATAGCATTTCAAGCAGAACAACAAGTCATTATGATGTCAAAATAAGATCAAAATGACTCCAAAATGATCATTAAAAGTCATTTTTCAATCATTTCCGATTCATTTTAATGTCATTTTGATGTTATCGTGACTTGTTATTCTGCTTAGGATGAAACGTTAAAGCAATAACTGCATTCAGCAGCAAAAGCAGCTTTGCAACTGTAAAATTCTTTAATATGATTGGTCTTTCCTTTAGTTTCTCACAGAATCTAAATTTATAAATATCAATTGTATTAAAATGTTTTACAAAAATTGCCAGGTTGTTTTTATTTGCTGAACGCAATCAATGTTGCAGTAACATTACAACATTGCTGGGACATTCTTGTTCCATGTTACCTGGGTATTAGCTCATACATTTCTTTTTTTTAGGGATGAATCCTCTAATGTTGCCATTATCAGAGAAGTATACGACAGTGAAAATGCCCACGAGACATTTGAATACGAGTTAGAGCGAGCGCTAGAATCAGAATGCAGTTTAATCGTTATCGAGCCGTCGAAATTAGGTGATGAAACCTCTAGATGGATAGCAGTAGGAAATTGTCTTCATAAGACTGCTGCATTGTCGGGTCTTGCTGCGATCGTCACAGGTTTGTCTAATTTATATAAAAAGTCTTCTCTCATGCATATTATTACAATTATTATTACAAAGAAATATCCAGGATTTTTAAGTCTAGGCTTGATATATCAGCATCACTTATTACTTTCCTTTTCCTACCTCTATTAAGAGCAAAGAAAACTACAAGTATTGTATATATTATGCCTAAAATTATAAATCTTGGACATCTGTATTGTTATATTTATTTATTCTTAATAAATTATTACAATATCATATATATGTGTTACAATTATATGTTAATTATCATTGTGGCTTAAAATTACATATATTGCTGATTAATAATATATTTTAAAATATCTCTCTTGCAGGATTAGTTTGGGGCGATCGACCATACATCTGTGGTCCATTAGGTTTTACGTCAGTTATAACCTGCGGATTATATACAGTCTCTTGGCAATTTGATCCCTGCTGTCAGTATCAAGTAGAGACTGATACCAGCAAATTACCGCACGTTGAACTATTAGCTGTTCTAGGTCCATCGTCTCCGACGTTTCTTGTAAGGAAAGATGATAAGAGGAGACGAATTCTTCATACAACTGTTGCATTGGCAGCCTTCGGTATTACTGCCTGGAGAGTATATCAGGCGTTCAAGTGAAAAAAATTATTACTGGCATTGGTTTTGATTTATAGGCCAGAATGAAATAATAAGGTAGGCCACATAATGTCGAGTTTCATAATAGTAGGCCTACAGAATTTCTTGAATGAAAGGAAATGCAAACTCATTTATTCTCATGCCGTGGTATATTATGACACAAAGTATTCTCTCATTTTGACGATTGATTTATAACACTTTTTGATACTACCTCGCAGGTGAATGCTGCTTATGTGATGATTAAACCACATAAATACAAGTAAAGAGAGCCAGATTTTATCCAAGCTTTTATATTGGCATATAATTTGAGATCATTATTCTTTGTGATCTTCATCTTGACAAAATTTTCAAAAATAACTATTGCAAAACTGGAAAGACCATGCAGTCTTTACAATGAAGAAAAAGAAATATATTGACATAAGTGTTCTTAGAATGATTAAATTTACAATAGAACATATGAATTTAGCATTATGTATTTTTAGACTGTAAATAAAATAGGTAGAGAGAGAATACAATACGTATGATATGTCAAAGGATATATTGCCTAGATTTTCTCACCCAACAAAACAATCTATGTTGAATTAGATATCACAGAAAGATATATTGATCATAAAAATTCAATTTTAGATTTTATTTTATTAATCATAAATATAGAATAAGATATGTACTTTTTTCATCACAAGTGCATATACGAAACTTATTTGCATTAATCCCGTCAAATGAAAGATAGCGTCGCAAACATTCCTATAAATGTTTAACGATAACAAAAATTAAAATTCTGTACATTACGAACTCTCATCACGTGATATAAAATTTATGATCGTACGAATGAAACATTCTCTCGTTTGTGTGTACATCAACACAGAAGCTCAAAAGATGAACAATGTACATAATTCTGAACATCGCTGTAGAAATCAACCTTAGGATGATAACAGATATACTTTATTATATTTTAAAATATCGTTATGTAATGAGTATAGCACAAAATTTAAGAAACGAGAATTGTAAGATCAACATCTGAAAATCCATACATTTGGATTTCGTTCTAAGAATTCTGTTTTTATATATGAAGTGCAGGAACATGGTGAACGTATTTCTATTAAAGACTTGTTTCTTTAAATACAATATATTAAATTAACAAATTACAATACTAAAAAAGAAAGTCTATTGCACAGAACAAGCTTACTATTACTAACAAAAAATTACATTATAGCAAACAATGTAATCAAGTTTTATTTGAAATACATTACAGTTTTTTCAGTATGTCTCAACAGTGTTGTAGTTGCATTCTATATTTATATACAATGTACAATGTAACTACATACCAGAATCGTTTGCATAGTGATTACATAAATATTATATAATGATTAATATATGTAATCGCTCGATGTTACGTTTAATATTACATTTAATTATATTTTATAATATAATATAAATTTTTATCACGTTTCTTTATATAATCTATTTTATTATATTAAAAAATAGATATATAATACAACTTAAGGAAGACATGAAAATGTGATCAATATATGGGATATTGGAATGGCTAAATCTGTCATGACAACTAAGATTTTATTATGGTAGACATATTTTTTCAAGTCTTATTAAAATTGTTATATTTTAAGTAAGTTTGTACCACTTAAATAAATAGAGAAAATTAAATGAAGTGTTAACAATTTACAAAATAATTTTAATAATACATTGAAAAGTACTATAAATAGATGTGCTATCTATCTCTTGTGAACAATTTATATATTTTTATCATACATTTAATTACATATAATCCTGTATTTACATTATAACATTCGAATATTTTACAAATAATTATTAAATGAATGTATATAATTGAGATCTTTATCATTTAAAATATTAGAATTTTATTGATTTTATAAGCCTTATATCAAGAGATGGATAGCACACTCGATACCTTTTCACACACACACACACACACACACACACACACACACACACACACACACACACACACACAGGCACATAAAAAAACATCGAGAAACAAAATAC